ATTCTTTTTTTGCAAGTATTGATATATTTTTATTTCACTGCTGAATAATACTGAAGAGTTTGAAACGTTTTCATGTAAAAGTCAAGTGGTACAGAGGCTTCTAAGTGGAACTGTCTATTGGATCTGTAAGATACCAAACAGTTTGATTGCTGTATTTCTTTCACACAATGTTCTTTACATGGGAAACTTTAAAGCCGCAATTACGAGGTGGTTCATAATGCATGCTCATTATTCTTCCTTAGAAATCTTGTTATTGTTGATTAAATTAGTATTGTAAATCATTATTTTGTTACTCCCCTTAATCTATACCTATTAACAGAAGATTCAGTGAGTAATTACAGATATGATTTTTTTTTATATATAATATCAAAGGCAGCTTACAAGGAAATTGAGTTGACAAAAATTAAAGATCATCTTAAGATGGCAGAGGAAGATATCCAAAGACTTGAAAAAGAAAATGCCGTAAGTTTTATAGACTTAGTCAGCAGAACTTAAAGATACAAGAAATTAATGAATGTTGCAATTCCGTTACTGTTTGTGAGTAATTTTGTTTCATAGTCATCTTGGTTTTTGAAAAAATGATGTTGGTCTGTTTAAAGTAGATATTCTGCATTGATATTCCAGCATTTTCTTGAAAAGTAACTGCATTCTAAATTGTATCATTCACATTAGATTTTAAATTAGTTGTTAAGAGTGAATAGTAAAAGGTAGAGATTTTCCTGCCTTGGTTCATGAGAACTGTGCTTACCAGCCACCACCTGGCCGGGAACTTAGAATTAATGACCTTTCTTGGTATGGATATGTTTTGTTTTTCCACACTAAAATCTTTAATTGGTCCATAAAAAATTTAATATGTTAGAGTTATAAGAAGAAGTTGACAGCAATGGAGAGAGCATTTGCATCCCCTAGTCCACGGAGTAGTGCCATTGGTCGCCTTATTAGGGAGAGGTATGTCCACAAGATGTCAAGACTCTTACAAAACAGTTTTTATTGATTTACTGGATACATTGTATAAAAAAATGTTTATTTATTATAGAGAACTTCATTTAACAGATAAGTTATTCACATCATAGCAAAACAGCAAAGCTGACAAGCCAATGCCCCCCCTGCACCTAGATATTTTATTGAAACCACCATTATATAGTTAGCAGCACAGTGGGCAAGAAGCAGGCCCATCTTGCCTGCTTAGTACTGCTTGCTTTGAAAGCCAACATGGAGCCAACCTGCACAGTTCAAAGAAAGAAATAACTGTCAATGTAAGAATTAGCCAAAACATAGAAAGGTATTCCAACTACAAAATTGTGATGTTTTGGCTAATTCTTACAATGACAGTAATTTCTTTAATGAAGTAATTCTTGTAAGCTCTGAATTTGTCTGTGTTAATATTTTTAATTTTTGATGATAAGAAATAGAACAGTGCTGGAGTTTTTTTTTAGTAAGTAGGAAGGGGTCCAACTGAAACCAGGTTTAGTTTGTTAGGTTTGTGATAAAAAGTTAATTTGTTTAGTTTAATTTTGACATGTAATATCAGTGTTATGTTCAATGTAGTCCAGCACCAATGGATATTAAGAGGCCAAGGCTAAGCTGTCCTGAAGACGATTTGGAAAATATTGTTATAGCAGAAACACCATCTCCAAAGTCAAAAGTTTCTTATGGCAACAGTGAACTGAGGAACATTGCAGAAGAGTAAGGAAATCTAGATTTCAGATCATTATAGCGGGTAGAGTTTTTTGCTTGTAATGCATTTGCTACCCATTGGTAGCCTTTACACAAACATCATTGTACTCCTAATATACATGTAGCAGTTATTCTCTTCAAATTTGTTTAAATCAGAAGACTTTGAGGAACAACCAAGCAACACGAATTTGGTTAGACCTCAAAACCCGACTATGGGAGCATAGAACTTTAAAATTTTGCAGGGGAACCTGGTCCTCTCCAGAAATAAGAGACTCCTCGGGCCTTAAAAACCACCAGACTGCTATGCTAAAGAACTTTAAATTGAAACCAGAGGGGGACTTTTGTGCACACTCATATCCAGTGTGGGGGATGCATGTGGGGTTGGCTCATGCCAATGACATGTGGATTTGGTTAATATTCTGTACAGAATGGGATTGTCCCTGGTGAAGACAACAAGCCTAACCTCTCCTCCCAGTCGCACAGTATTGAAGCCTACTCAACAACAGCCTAAAAAGGCTTCAGAACCAGCTGGGGGGTCTGTGTTCAGACGCGGTTATAATGGACTGGGTGGACATACAAAGTTCCTTGCTCCATCAAGACCAATCAAAACAGTATCACGTAAAGTGGCAAGACCCCATGGCATTTCAAAGTTTATCAAACCTGCTAAGCTTATGAGAGTGGCTGACCCTCCTCTTCCTGTCATGGACTTGAATTCAAATTCTTAAATTAAAGAGAACTACTTAGCAAACAATTATTTATTACAGATACTGTACAAAATTGTTTGCTTTACTTAATTTATGCAGATTTTGTTATACTAAGGATGACTTTAGGAGAACACTCAAAAGTGTACCACGAACATTTTTCCTTTAGTTTGTTTACTTTGATAGAGGCTTCTGTAATGTTTAAAAGGTTAGTGATAATAATTTGGACCACAGCAGTCATAATTATCACGGCATTGATATTACCCTACATTGGAAATCAGACAAAACTTGCTAGTCTGATGTGCAATGAGGATACCAAGGACTTTTCATAAATAAACTGTAGTTAATTTTTTTCCAGGACATTTCATATTGTTCTGTTAGTCACTTACTTCAGCGGTGCTTATAGAGTTCTTGAAAATCTTCATTTGAAATGCTTATGAGGCTTTACATCTACCTTTGTCGGATAGATCAGACCTTTGACTTGTTTCAGTCAAGCTAGAGTCTTTCACTCGAACCGGTGTTGTTAGCAAATTATCAAGAGTGATCAAACATCCAAAACTGGCGACCTTGCATCATTGTCATTTTACTGACAAAGATAATGGAAGGACCAACTCCTACGTGCCCGCTGGCGCACTGTCCTGCTACTCAGTCCATTAGTGTGGGCGGCCGCACGAGAAATTATTTGGCTTGGCAGAGAGCCAAATGTTTTCTCGTTCAGCCCTACCTAACGCGGGCAAAGAGCAGTTTTTCATAAAACCATTTCTCGCTTTCTATCGCGTCAGACTCTAGTACGGGTGTAAAAGGAACGAGCAGGTGAGGGGCCATACAGGTCATAATTTGATAAATTTGGCCGCGAACTGTTACTTAGACACTTGACAAAAATAAAGTACAACAAAGGAAAATTAATGAAGTAAATTAATAAAGGTAGAAAAAGCACCTGGTGAAGACTAGTAAAGACGTTTATATCGCTCTGATCAACCACACGATGCTTTTGAAGTTCATTTTTTTTTTATATTTTTGTAATGAAAACAAAACATGTTTCGGATGAAACATCCATTTTCAGTTGTATAATGAGAAACAAAATGAAATTATGCAATGAATAGTATAACAAAGTGAGATGTTAACAAGAGTAATGAAAAAAAAAAGTGAAACTATTTAAGTTAAGAAGGGAGACTAATTAGTTTGAAAGGGATAAATTAAGATGTTTGACCTGAGAATTTAAAGACAGCTGCTCCCAAAGGATGTGCATGGCTTCCTTGATTTTCAATTGGAAGCTTGTGGAAGCAGAGTCAAGAATTTTAAAACAATCTTTTGAACAAGGGAGCGACAATTTTCAGAACCTCTCAGGTGCGTAAAGATGTGGGAACGTTTGTGAGAGGAGAGATGTTCGCGGATGCGAGTGGCGACGTGTCTGTTGGTTTCACCAACATAGCGGACCACAGCCTGTACATGAAAACTTATAAATAACTCGCGATCGTAAACCCGCAGGGATAGGATCCTTGACCCCAAACCAACTCTTAATTTTAAACGGGGTGAACACCAACTCAATGTCAAGGTTACTGGAAAATGTATTAACTGATTTCTTAATTCTGCGTTGCGTTGTGATGGAAAAAGGACCGATGTACGGTAATTTAAAATAAAAACAATTTTCCTTATGAGCAGCACTCTGAGAAGAATCGGAGGTGAAGTTATTGTTAAGAAATTTTCTCACAACATTCTCGATGATGTTAGAAGGGAACAAGTTCCTCTTTAACGTTTTAATAAGGTTATTTATGTCGAGGTGAAAGCCAGCCCGAGTATTATTAATTTTAAACGTTCGGTCTATCAGAATGCGTATTAATCCTGATTTGTAACTGAAAGGTACAAAACTGTAAAAATTAGTGAGAAGACCAGTGCAAGTCTTCTTATGAAACACAGGGCATTTTCTCTTATACAAGGTGATAATGCCCTGATTGCTATAATTGTTATCTAAAAGAACATATAAGAAGGGGAACTTGTGGTTTTCTTCCCTCTCCATAGTAAACTTAATGTTAGGGTGCTGGATGTTGATATAACTATAAAAAGATAAAGCATTCTGTTCGGTATTAAACAAAGCATACATATGAAAGAAGATGTAAGAAAATATAACCAGGAGTAACGACACAACCGCGCGGTTAAATTAATTAAAAGGGAACACGTTCTCTTAGCGGAATTTGGAAAACCTTATCCCGAAAACGCAGTGTGAGAATTTTTTGATTCGACAACGCATTTCGAGAACGCACTTCAAAAATGTAACTGGTAACACTACCCAAGAGGTCACTGGGAACACTATCAAGGACGATCTCAAGATACTTTCATTATTTGCGTTTCCGAATTCCCTTCTCATATGTCTTACCAATATGCCCCTCCAAAATGACTTGCAAAAAAGTCTATTCAAGTATGCGCATCTTTGATGCCAGACATCGAGTTTTAATAACATCAGTTTTCAAGGACGATTAAAACTAATTTTTCTTGTTATGATCAGACAGATTCACTAGATCGGAACCTTTTGGTCAGGTCTGGGGTCTTAATTCTACTGTTCTATTCCCAGCCCCCTGCCCTAAGCTGAGAATTTTTTTTTTACCGTCATTTCCACTCAAAGACTCCGTCAAAAACAACAAAGTTGGTTTCTTTTTATTGATACCAGGCTTATCTGGTAAATTTCTGCACGTGCCATTTCAGAGTGAGCATGCGTTGTAAAACTTCCATAAATTAAGTAACTTGAATTCACAAAATGGACCATAATCAATAATCTCGGAGATGAAACATGATGGTCTAACTAGAGAGCTGAACATGAACCTATGACAGAGGTTTATCAAGATGTACTTATCAAACTCGTTCCTGTATAAAAAATTGCGGAAAAAATTAATACATGTCAATACCCTTTTATAAAATGATAAAAATATTGTGCTTCTAGTTTAAATGGAAGCATTATTGTAAGTTGAGATGAAGGGATTTTCGAGAGTAAATTTTATTTTATTCGTAGGCAAACTCCTCAGATTCACTAGATTCTAAGGATTCTCCAGATTCAGCTGATTCTCCGGACTCGCCAGATTCCCCGGACTCGCCTGACTCCCCGGACTCACCAGATTCCCCGGATTCTGAGGTCTCCCCGGATTCCCCGGACTCCTCAGATTCAGTAGATTCCCCAGATTCGCCCGATTCTCCGAATTCAGCGGATTCCCCGGACTCGCCGGATTCAGCAGATTCCCCGGACTCGCCAGATTCCCCGGATTCAGCAGATTCTCCTGATTCGGCTTGTGTCTCTGTCTCCTCAGAATTAAACAAGCTTTTTCGCCTTTTTTCGTGGCCTTTATCAGACTTCCCAGAAGCTCCTGATTCTGCAAGATTTCCTGATTCATCAAATTCACCAGAATTAATCGAGTCTGTACCTGGATTGATAGATAACGAAATAATTCACTTTTAAGTATTGTAAATGCTTCATAACAAGACAAATTCATATAAAAATGCATTTTGCTGATCAGTGTAAACAAACTCCTCTCAAGGAAGGGACGGGAGACAGTTTTTGAAATACACTGTCGACGAAATAACAAATACATAACGTTGCGCAACTCGGAAATGTCATTATCTTGTCACTTTAAATAGCAAACGATGACAAGACATTATGATCCTTGCATGATAACTTAGAGAAATTAACTGCAGACATTTCAATTCAGCAAAGATGGAACCCGGAAGTGGACTTGCCTCCACCGGCGTGCTTATCAGTTATTGATCTCTGATGGATCAGGGACTTTTCAAGCAATTGGTGCAAGAACAAACTGTAGAAGGATATCATTTCTGATGCCCAATATAATTCTCTTGTTACAATAACGTGTTGTTTTTCAATAATTTTAGCTCGTCTGAACTATTTACTTACCATGTGGTCTTGACGAACAGCATTCTAGAGATAAGATCAATGCACAACAAACAAGTAAAACATTTGAGATCTTCATTATGTTTCTTCTGATTCTGTGGATTGGAGAAAAAGGAATTGACCGTTATATAAATTTTGTCTTGGAGAAACCAAATTTAAAAACAAGTTACGTCAAATCTATTTCGACTTTGCAGAAATTTACAAAACCGTTAGAACGATATTGAGCGGAAAATGTACTTTCACAAGTTTAATTCACCACAGAAAATCAACACGATCAAGGAATCACGTTAATTTATGAAGAAGATCTTTACTTTAGGTTGTTGAGGGGAAATTTTTGCACATAATTTAACAACGCAGGTCGGTAATAAAACTGAATTTTATTTCTAATTTCAAGTCTAACTTTTGACTCACTTTATTCTGATACTCTAACGATCAATTTGAAATGGTTTAATGAGTGTAAGAGATAAAAATCTATGCTAATCAAGCTTTAAGAAATATTGATAATTGACCGTTCGCTTCAACAAAAATCCTCCACCTTAACTGTGATCTCCAAGTTAACTCTTACCTAAGGAAAAAAATGGTATCAAACTTATTCATTCGATATTCGTGCCAAGAGTTGTCCCTTGTTCGTGCGTTATCGATTTTTCACGTAAACATGTTCACGTATACTTTCGTTAGGTGGCGAATTTTTTAAATAAAATTGGTCTTCTCTAACTATCCACGTGATTTACAATCCGAGAAGCAATCGCTCTCGACAATATTCCTCAAACAAAGAAAAATTAAAGAGATCACGTTCTCTTTCTCTTAGATCTTAAACTATAGGTCAATGAAAATCAACTGGTGAAAGAAAGGTTTCACTGCAACTTTAACTTTAGCAGAGGATTTCATGGGCTACTCTGGTAAAACGCAGAATTTCCCAGTAAGCCTCGCCAGACAAGATGGCTCTGCGTCATCGGATAGAGAAACTAACCTATCCCGGACCTAACAGAATTTACTTATTTTACTCTAAAGATCTAAATAAACCATACGAGAGCAAAACTAACAATTCGTTGGTTATGAGCAAAGACCGATGGTTATCAGTGCGTGGCTAATAAAAGTAGTCATACACGATGTGAATACACCCGTAGGGAGAGAACATGCATATAGCATGGTTTCCACGCACAACCTGTCGGTTGATCTCATTTTTAAAGCTGTGTTGGAAGTCAGAAAATAAGATCAAAGAGCAATCATGCAAAAAAAGTTTTGATAGCACTTTAGCCGCAGAAACCAAGGTAAAATAGTTTTGTTATATAATCCATGTGTAAAAAGTCGCCCAAGTAAATTATTCTTGTCGTTTGCGTGGGCTGATCTTTTAATGACAAGTCTGTAATGGATTGTCTTGTATTGAGCAAAGTGTAAATAAACACGATGAAGTGGTACAACCAAAGATTGAATACATCGAATCCATGTTACAAATCATGAAACATCGACATTCGTTAGAATAACTTTCTTTTATCTCGGGAAATTGTGAGTTGTAGAGGTTTCTAACATATGACAAAGATTTCTTGTTATAAGTCACTGGTTCTGCTTTTATAATGAAACAGTTAAGAACTTACCTCCTCTGTTACCTTCTCGGTAAATGAAAGCTATGGTATGATATTGTAAACAATGTCCTGCTGTTTAAAAGAGGTAAACAAATAATGAAAGACAAAGATTCCTTTCAATATATCAACATTTCGACCAATCAGAAACAACCTCGTGTCTAAGTTACACGAGCTCACCCTACGTGGCTTAAAGGAAACTAGAATCTGAAATTGGGAATTACTTACACTTAAATGCACAGGAGTAGTTAAATAAGAGCAACAAATATTAAAAGAACGTCAGATTGTTCATAGAATACAAACTGCTTTCTTTAAATCCGATATTGCGAACGGAGTTTGTTGAAAACGATTAATTAATTACCTGGGTTGAAAGTACCAGAAAAAAGGCCAACAGGTGACAAAACCTTTCCCGAAACAAGTTGTGTATGACTCTGGAATAACACTTTTGAAATCGGACAGAATCATCCAAAGCATCAGCCAAAACTGTCTGACATATCTTACAGCCGGCCCAAACTCGACGAAAGTGCCTGACATTAGAGGGAACCATTTGAAAACAGATGAAACCGTCAAAAATCCGACTGAGCAAACGAAAGCATCTAACTTGATCGGGAAGAGCCACCTGAGCGTACTGAACCATCCCAAATTGAAGAGAACTGTCTGAAACTAAACGAAAGAGCTCTAACTCAGACAGTTAAGTCCAAAAATCCCACAAACCTTCCCAAAATTAGACGGACGGAAGTGTCCGAATGCAAACTGTGATTGAATTGGATAGAACCAGGAAAAATAAACTGAACTCTTAGGAAACTGACCGAACGGCCCAAAATCGGATGGAAACTTCCAAAATCAGAGAGAGCCGTTCATAACACAACAGGATGACCAGTTTACTGAGGAAGAAGTTGCATTACTCACACAACACGTTTTCTACGAGTGACGCGTTTTACATGTCGAAATAAATTCGGGACTTACATGCGAACACAATAGGGCACGAGACTAGATGTTCCTTCTCACAGGTTTTGTTTTTCCATCCCAACCAGTAGTTTTATTGTAACTGTAACACCTCACAACACAGCTAATAATCTTTAGAAGTTTTGTACTACTTAGGAAATCTACTTGACAGGATATTGCAGAATAAATCTACATAATTATGATGGTTAATGCAAAGAATGTCGCTAACACTTGCTAAGATCGACATTATCCAAACCAAGTTACCGGTGCCATCCCACGAGCTGGATTGGCATTTGCAGTGATAATTTAAATGATCCGATGTTCAAGTTCACCAAGGAATTCTTCACGTTACCCTTCTTAGGGCGAAATGTTTCAGGATCGTGATGAAATAAGTGATCTGAGAATTGCTTATGTGAATAACCGAGAAATTGACATGAATAAAAAGAGCCTTTCAAAGAAAAGAGTATTCAAAGAAAAGAGTAATACCCTTTCTTCAAAACCTCAAAATCTTCGTCAACCAGGTCGACCAATGCGGGGTAGCTAACATTCCATCTGAAACTGTTTATCAATATTTATGTGAAGAATTTTGAATCGTAAATTATCGTATCGTAAATTATCTTTGTAACGTGTTTCTCATCTCAAAGAGCTCTATGAACCATGCCATGTATTAAATATCACATTGTTTTTTCATCTATAGAATGTATATGGATTCCCACTATGAATAGTGTACTGACAATTTGATACGAAGGGCGGAAAAAGTACTCAGTGGAGGTGAGCTGGCCTTTCATAGAAAGAGCTCTTAACTGTAGCTTACTGTAGTACTTAGGTTATTCGGTTTATTTCTTTAAGTTATAAGCTCAGATAAAAAAAAAAAACCTGCCAAATTTCATTGCCATTGAGATGCTCTCACAACTGTGTGACCTAGCTATTTCAAAAGTAGAGCTAGATTTGTATTGCCTGTAATAATTTTCCTATCGTCGATTAAAATTTGAGTCCAAAAGTGGCGAATCAAGGCGGCATCCTTTCTCACGACAACCTCCCCCACGTTGATGACTTGTCTAAGGAACGTTTTTATTATGATCACAACAAACAACTCATACTTTAATATTGGCAAACAATGCACGACAGGCAAGTATCTACAAAGGCAATGGGGGTGGAGTGGGGAAGAGGGTAGCATATACAGTGTCTGGTGCTGATGCACACCATCTCATTTTTCACAAATTATCTCTGAAGAACATCGTTTACGGATACGGGTTCTGCGATAATACTCTGAACATGTCAATGGAGGTGTGGGTGAGATGATGACAAGCAGCTGTAAAACATCACTTTTGTCCTTTCTTTTTCTTGGATGGAGATTTTTCAGAAGTAGCTGATCCCGGATGCTGCGACTTTTTAGGATGAGCCTCGCGCTTGGTTATCTGATGTACGAAATAAGAACATTGATAACGTAATTTTTCAATAAAAATCGCTTATCCCTATCATCACTTGCGTTCAGAAATCGTGTTGATTTCCTTCAAAATTGAACAGAACGAAAGTGTCCTCCATAAAAAAAATGGGGACCTTTTAAGTTGATGGAGTTGACAGCGAGAAGATCCCTGTGAAGACCTAACATTATGAAGAATACTTTATCACTTGCTAGGTTCCATAAACGACAGCAGGAAAAGAGCTAGCGGCATTTCTTTTAAGAAATTAATGACCAAACTCATAAAAATCAACAAAAGAAGCAGTTACCCCTTTCAAAATTTTGTATTTCAGTTCTTGTTGGGTTAGAGGTCGTTGGTCATCCTCGGAACCTGACGAAGCATCTGAGTCGTAATCATCACCAGTTGTAGGCGGAACAATCGCCACTGAAGTCATTCCTGGCTGAGGCCCCTGACCTAAAAGACCTACTGCCACGGCGGGCTCACTATCACCATCAGTTTCCTTGAAAATAAGTAACGAAACATGCGCGATTACAACCATCGCAAAACAGAACATATTTACATAAAAATGTGAACATTGAGAAAGAATTTTTTTTTCGTCTTGTCACGAGCGTGGGACAAAGAAAAAATTCTGAGTCCCCATGTGAACATTATTTGCAGTACACTGTTTACCTTTGAAGAGACAAAGCCATGGACTTGAAGAAGCTCATTTGTTCTTTGTTCGATTAGCCCAAGGAACTAAAATCAAATAACAATGAAAGTTAATACATGTGTACGGCGGTATCATCCTGGCAGATTTAGTTGATAGGCGCTCTGACAAGCTTTTACTGAACGATTTGAGGTGAACAGTGAAACAAGAGAAGAAAAAGAAAGAGACACATTCAGTTAGTATTCATATTCCATGTAACACATGCGTGTAAACCAGTTGGGCATATTACTATATATTGTGTTACTGGACAAATACAAAGAGGTTTGACATTGCCAAACAACAGCGAGTTCTCAAAATTTTATGAGATTTAATAGATGTTGTAGGTAAATCAAACTTAAAAGGACTTCAACTTTCTTCGCAACGTTTTTTCCCTTCCATTTTTATTTTCAACATCCCGAAAAGGTAAAATCTGGAAACGAAGGCTACGAACTGGGAAGACTACCAACTGTCACTTGTGTTTTGGCCATTTTCCTACACATTATGGTGACGTACAGTACACACCCAAATTGTGCAAACTTATTAACCTGTCTAGTACTGAATAAATCAGCCCGATGAAAAATGAAAAAACTGCAAATTCCTTCGCTACCTGCATCATATTGGCATCAGTAACTCCAGATGTTCCTCCAAGCATGTCTGTTATGGCGCTTCGGTCACAGTTGATCTTGTTAAATAAAGAGTCCACCCCTGAAAATTAAGAAGAATACAGCACAATTATTGGCTAATCAAAGTTAGTGGCTAGTTTCAACAATCATCACAGACGGGTCCACTTAAAAGAAAGCATAAAGTACGTCCTAACGAGAACTTTTCGTCGTCAATTCCGATATGCCTTTGGAATATCTTCTCTTGTCTGACTTCATAAGCGATAATCTTGTTTATCACAAGTAAATTTCAACAACTGAAAGCACTCGAATGCTGACTGTCACTCAGGTTAAATGAACTTAAAGGCTGGTCTTTTTTTCTCCGCAGAAAATTGTTGTAGATCAACTGAGCCTTAGTTTATAGGAAATTTACCTGATTTTAGTTGTTCAATTATTTTCTTGCTCTGCTTAAACTGCGTGTCATATTGATCAGCTTGTTCCGTGGATGATGACAAGTTATCCTCTAAACCCTTCAAAAGGGCTTTCCTTTGGCTAGCCATCTCCACTTCCTCACTTTTGAACTTCTCAATTTCTGCTTGATTCTGATGATAACAAAAAGCGTGAATTAATTTCTCTTCCTTATCTCAAACAAGATATTAAACTAATGCTGGCCAGTGACAAAATTGTTCATGCACCAAACGAGTATTTTTGCGGTTACAGTTAATAAAGTTGGGTTCTGATTGGAGACCTGAGGTTACCGGTGTTCAACAGTATCAAGCAATGTATCCATAAACGAAAGAAGCTTAATAAATTAACAGGGTTATAAAGTTCGATGAGCAGTCATCTTCTAGGGGCTGCAGCTTTATCGATTTACACGAGATGATTTATTATGAAAAACGAATGCCAACGTTGCCACTAGAACTATACATGACGGGGGGGGGGGGGAAGAGGAGAAGGGGTAGGAATAGAAATAACTGATAATATCACTTACGATATCCGTAAACGTTTTCCTTTACCTCGTTTATTTGTTCTTGCAGCTGCTCGATTTCATTATTGAGTTCGTTGACGTAGTTGAAGAGGGCAAAATTTTTGTCTTCGACTTCTATGAATTTATTGACCAACTGATCAATGTCCTCAATACCAGTGGCTTCTTTGATGGTGTGGAAAGCTGACTCGTATGACTAAAATGAAGGAAGCAGTTATATCACAGAAACTATTAAAAAAACATTCAACAGAACCAGAATATATTCTTATCTCTTTAATATCCCGACAAACTGTTTACGCGCAAAAAGAGTGACAATTGCAAACAGACACTGCACCCAATCAACTTACATGACATCTTGGGCTCAACTGTGCATGCCTTTGGATAGAATAGAAAATATTTCACCAGTGCTAACACTGAGTAGTCTTGTTGGCTATATCAGCTATGTTATGTCTTGGGTATCAAAAATTATTCTCGTAGCGCCAATTTTTTTCCTATACGCCCCGGCTATCTGTCCTCAGAATTTGACTTGCTAACACTGCTAACATTACTGCTGTAAAAAGGTTACTCAGTGGTATGTTTGGTAAATTCCTCCTTGAATTGTAGCACTACAAAAATCAGTGACAAGAGACTTGTGTCAATCTAGGAGACGCATGACATTCTACAAACCTCAATAGTTTCCTCAGCTTTGTCGCCTTTTTCCTTTTCATCTTTTTTCTTCCTCTGAGATGACAATTCGCCTTCCATCATTTCAGCTCTCTCTTCGCTTTTAATCCTCATGAAATCTTTCAGCTTGCGATCATGCTCAATGATACGCATAAGCTCCTTTAGTTCCGTGTTGTATTGTGCCAGATCTTTATCAGCTTTCTCTTTCAGCGCCATCATCTTCCCTTGCGCTTCATCTCTACCAAAGATACGACCAAGGCGTGTGAATTAAACATAGTTCAGTGTACTTACTTAAAGGGTGAAGAGTCCCCGGGGGATGTGGTTCATTATTTGAAAATCTAAGAATTTTTCCCATCACGATGAAAGAGGAACCTGAAGTGGAGCTGAAACATAGTTACACAACTATGTAAGTTTGAAATCGCGAGGAATCTGTTGGCTTCCCTTAGAAACTTCTGAAAACAAACGTGCTCTCTCTATTTTTATGAACCCGCCAAAAAATAAAATTAACAAAGTAAAAATATGACAACTGCATTCTCAATTGCCCTGAAAAAAATTTAAATAAAAGAAAAAAAAGATGACTAATTATCATAAAAAAAATGGAAAGAAAACGGATACATGGGACCATAAATCTTTGCAAAGTTTTCTTTCAGATTGAGAATCAGTCCGAAAAGAATTAATTATTAGGACTATCAATAATTCCACAAAAATAAATTTACGGTTTGCTATAAAGTCTGAAGAGCATGGTACGAACCGAGCCTCATAGGCTGCTGTGGATGTTTCAATACCATCCATAATTTTCTGCTTATTCTCCGCTAACTCCTTCTCTAGCTTCAGACGAATGGTGTCAAAAGTCTTCTTTTCCACTCGCATGTGATCAAATGTTTCACGGAGTTTACCGTTCTCTGACAAGCAACTGTTAAAGTCTATTTTGGCCTGCAGAGAAAGAGAACAGTCTCTACATGAACATATACATGAATATGGTGCCCCGCAGTGACTGTAACTGATCAGCACTGCAAGATCATGCATTACCAAATGAACCAAATACCTTTTTGGCTCAATAAGGTTATTGATATGAATTGAGTCAAAGCAGAGCGCCAGTGTATTAAAATAGCTCAGTGCCATTGTTTAGAAAAGTCAAGAATTTGTTCTAAG